ATTTCCTTCCTTATTGAATTTACTGAACTTTCTTTTCCTGTGGCCATTTCCTTTATGGAAATTTTTATGATTTTAGTATTTTAATCAAGCTTGAAAGATTGCATATATACCATTCTCTTCTAAAACTAAATCTACTGATGGTAATTTTGCAGTTATTTTATCTCCTCTCTGATTATTTTTGATATTATTTGGGTAAAATGGTGTAGTTCAGAGAGCCAGAGAACACTGTAATCTGAATCTATTTGGTGTTTGATTGTTTTTGATCTTGAGTAAGTTAATTATGCCCAGGGAGCCACAGTTACTTCATTTGTAAAATGAAATTGATATTATGGTGTAGGGATAATGTAAAGGTATAAAGATAATATATTTAAGATGTTAGTAGGTATTCAATAAATAATAAACTTTATTTGGCAGGCAGCTTGATACAATGAAAAAAATCATGGCTTTGGAACCATTCAATCCTTTTAGGATAGGATTATTAACTGTCCTTGTGCAAGTCACTTATTCTGGAGCCTTCCTCCTCATCCATAAAATGGGTATTATAATCCTTACTGTGGATTAGAAATGAGAAATGTAAAGCTCTTACCTTTCCAGTGCCAAGGATCTAACAACTATTTGTTGTTCTTATATTGTTTGTTGCTTAAATCTTTGAGTTGCCCTTTTAACATATTTGTATTTATCCATGATCATTTTCACGCATTTTAGGTTTTGCATCTTGCTTTTATAGACCCTTATTGTGTTAAGGTTAACCTTAGAACTAAAGCGCATCTTCTGTGTTTCACATATTTCCCTCTTAAGAATTGAATTATGTATGTGTAGGAAGCATTTTTACAGGTCAGTCATAGATTATCATTGATCTTTACTCTTTTAATTCAAGAGATAAGGCCAAGGCAAAGTGAAATGAACTTGCTGGCCAATGTATCAGAAGCTAGATAACAATTTTCTTTTTTTGAGACAGAGTCTCACTCTTTTGCCTGGGCTAGAGTGCCATGGTGTCAACCTGGCTCACAGCAACCTCAAACTCCTGGGCTCAAGCAATCCTCCTGCCTCAGCCTCCCAGGTAGCTGGGACCACAGGCACGCGCCACCATGCACAGCTAATTTTTTCTATTTTTAGTTGTTTGGCCAATTTCTTTCTATTTTTAGTAGAGACGGGCTCTTGCTCTTGCTCGGGCTGGTCTCCAACTCCCGAGCTCAAACGATCTGCCCGCCTCGGCCTCTTAGAGTGCTAGGATTACAGGCGTGAGTCACCGCGCCCAGCCTAGAAAACAATTTTCTATGAGAGAGAGAGAGACAGAAAGAAGGGGTATAATTCTCACCTGAGCTGAGGAGTTAGAAAGTTTATGTGATTATTCTCTACCTGCTCGTTAAGGCAATGTGTTGAGATCAGTTAGTCCTGGGTTTAAATTGCAGCTTTACAGCTTTATATATTTATGATTTTGTTACTTAGCCACTCTGCTCCTCAGTTTTTTCATCTGTAAAATCCAGGTAGTGACATTTCTTAATAAGCAGTGAGATACCTTTAGAAAGCAGCTAATGTAGAAAATTTTTTTCATCTCGTAAACCTACTATGAACAGTTGGTAGTGGTTAAGTGGGGGTAACGTGTTAAGGCTCCTTGAGAGGCTAAATAAGAAAAATATCTACATACCTAAATGTATTGAATAAGAGGAGTGGGTGAACATAAGTCAGACATTTGCTTCCTGTAGCTTGCTCCCCTAACTCATAATAAACACTC